CCGCCCCCACCCCCAGCGGAGGCAAGGGCCCCGGCGGGCTGCCCTTTTCTCCACAGCTGAGCCTTTCGTGGGATTCACTCCGGCCAGATGCTCTGTGGGAGATGCCGTGGGTCCCCTTGTGGTGTGCCCTCCAGCCCCCCCCCGCCAGCGACCCTCTGAATCGGCGACCTCCACAGTGTCCTGTTATTAATCGTCATCTTCAGCTCTTGCAAAGTCAGAACTATGGCTTCCTTTGTGGAGTCAACCTGTTGCATATTTGGGCGGCTGCTTGTTGCTGCCGTTGGTCCTATGCCAAGAAAAGTAAGGGATTCTCTGTAGGCTGAGAAAGACAGAGTCTGGATAAGATAGGTTTCTGGACTAGCTCTCCACCGATCCTCCAGCCAACCTGAGCAGTTGTAGTCCAGGATGTAATTTTCCCAAGCTCTGCTCCCCCCCCCCTGAATTATTTCATGGCTGATTGTTAAAATAAGAAAGGGGGTGGAATGAGGAGCTGATTTTTTTTTAGAGGAATGCAGGCAGTGATACCAAGAAAAGGTGAAACTACATTTTAGAACTGACAATACATTGAGAGAAAGACCAGGCCACAGAAAGACCTAACCCTGAAACATGCACACCTAGCATGAATATTTATGGCTGACAATGTAACTGTTCCTCTCCAACTATCCACCTATTTGAAGTAACAGATGGCCCATCATTGGAATGCTTGTAGGAGGAAACCAACAAGTAACATTCACAAGTGATTCACATTATTGAAGGCCATATATCAGGGCCCAGGAAGAAAGCACATAAACATACCAATAGATAAGAGAAAGAAGACTTTCAGACGCATCCAGGGCCGCGGTCAAGGAGAGATGGGGGCACAATATGCATATCTACATGTAACCACTTAATTAGCGTAGTTTGCATCAGTTATCCAGTGAGGGATTGGATCCAAAGTTGGGGTACAATTGACCAATAGAATCATAGCATTTTATGGCTCTTTGTCTATCATTATAAAATGCATGTACACTATATGTTGTTGGGGTGTGTGTGTTCTTTGCTTTTAAGGGAAGTCCCAGCTGACCTTTCTTGCTCTTTGCCCTTTAAAATAAAATTGGGCCTTTGGTTCAGCTGTTGCATCTGTACCTGAGTCCTTGCCGGAAACCTGGAAACCCAAATCTGGCCGGTAACAGTAGGACCTGTAAGTTTGCAATCAGAGCTAGTTGTACCTTGATGGAGCCTGAGCACCACCCTCAGAGAAGTCATGCTGACTCAGGGCCAAACTTTGTGTCAGTAACATGGGAACAAAGGAATTCATCTGCCTTTCAGGATTATTGCACCCAAGTTACAAAGGAGTTACAGCAGGGTAATGGAGGAAAAAGTAACTTGGACATTTCGAAGCACTCTGTATGTATTTTTATGACTTACAGGAAATGTTTTCCGACGTACATTGTTGCATTCTAACTACCCTAACTTCAGAGTTCATCCAAACAAGGCATTTGTTATCTAGTGAGTGTACAAATTGTACCAGTACTTTCCCCACTGTCCACATAAAACAAGGTTATATCATGATGACAACAATGGCAAAATGAGACAACCCTCCCTTTGTGTTTTTGACCAGCACTAAATATCAATGGTTTCATTCCCCCCCCCCCTGCATTATTCAGCTTTGTATTGGTATCCTTTCTGCCATCACATCACATTAATCCATGCTGTTCTGTGGTGTTTCTGGATGTCTCCTAGATTCCCATTTCCTGGGAGTGAATTTCATCTCAGCATGTCTCTGCCTCTTTGTGGCTCAGCCCCCCTCCGTCCAGAAGCCCACTTCCCATTCCCTTCGTGTGTGTGTGTGTGTGTGTGTGTGTGTGTGTGTGTGTGTGTTCTGTGCCATCAAGTCGGAACTGATTTATAGCAACCCTAATTGAGCTTTCAAGATAAGTGAGATGTTTAAGGAGGGATTTTACCAGCTTCACTCCCCCCCATCAATTTCCATGACCGAGCAGGGATTCAAACCCTGTTCTTCAGAGTCCTAGTCCATCACTCAGTCTACTACACCACACTAGGAATCCTTCTTCTGCCCCATTCTTGATGACATATGATGGGAAACTGGAATTGGCAACAGTACCACTTCCTTACCTTTTCTGGTCACCCCCTCCCCGTTCATCATTCCACACAGCGGGACGGCTGTCCTCGGCTGGCTCTAGCCTTTTCTGCATTCCCCCCCCCCCTTCNTTAAGGGGCTAAACAGGTACTAGCTGCAGTGCTATTGGTGGCAACCCAAACTCCCTGATCAGTCACTATGGCTCAGAAATGAACTCCTTCTGAAAAAGAGGATCGTGGTGAAATAGTGACCCTGGCTGTGTATGAATGGGTCAACAAGGGTAAACAGAAAAGAATTAAGATGAGAATGTGGGGGAAAAACAAAGGCACTAAAGGCCAGGAACAAGATAGTGAGGAACAAGTGGAACAGATCTGGGTACATCAAGAAAGAGTTGGCAGCAGTGATCCTCCAGGGCTTTAGTGGAAATACCAAAAATATTGTGTTTGTAAAAGTGAGATTTGAGTAGCAACAAAAAACCAACACAACACAACAACAACAACCCTGGCACAGCAAAACCATGTGGATGAGCATTTAGAACTCCCAACAGCCTACTCCATTCCACATCTTTCACTAATGTCTGAGCAAAATATACGCTCTTCCCCTGCTCTCTTCAACACCAGCAACTTTGCCCTCACAATATGGTGTGAGATAAATTAGGCTGGAAAATAAGGTCACTTAAAAGTTGTGAGGGTGAATGAAGATTTTACCTGGATTTCTCTAATCCTGCTTGTTTGGCAGTCTAGCCAGGAAGCCATTACTAGATCAGGATTAGAGATGGGGGTATTCATATTCTGAGGCTAGTGACTCGGCAGCCATGCAGGGAGACACTTCCTCCCTCCCACTGCCTGGAGTGGCTAGTCGAGCGGGAAGAGAGCGGGGCCTTGGGAGTGATTGGAAGGATGAGCGAGGCTGCCGCTGCCAGCGGACACATGAGTGGATGGTCCAACTCAAGGGCCGGCCCTCGTTAAGTCCAGCTGCACGGGGATATTCATATTCATATATGAATACGAATACCCTCATCTCTAATCAGGATGTTAAGTGTTATATTCTTTTCACACAGTTCAACTTGGTCTATTGTAGTACTATTTATTTATTTGATTTGTGTACTATTCATCAAGCCTAAGGGCACTCTAGGCAGTTCGCAGCAAAAACAGACAGTAACTACACTACAAATAGAAAATAAAATTGACATATAGACATCATAAACTAAAACAGTAATTAAACAATTACATAATTAACAATTACACATTGAATATTTCCAAGGTGGTAGGATTGATTTAGTGGCTGAAATTTTCCATGGGTTTCCATTGATGGAAATGCCTATCCAAACAACAAAGCTTTAAAAGATTTTTTTGAAAGTTATCAGTGAGGGAGGGTAGTGGGATGTCCGGGGGGCGGGTAGTTGGTTCCAGAGTTTAGGTGCGACTGCCGAGAAGACCTGATTCCTTGGCCTCTGGGGGGGGGCTGCTCCCTCAGACATCCTGCCTGGGATGAATGAGTAGGATGGACAGCTCTTGCCAGATGAAGGCATTCTGCCAGGTCCTGAAGTCCCAGAGCATTTTAGGGCTTTATATGTTAGAACCATCACTTTGGACTCAGTACGGAAGCAGAGCCAATATAATGTGGCCAGGATTGGGGAGATACTGACTCTACCCACTAGCTGGGTTGCCATATTCTGGACCTGCTGGATCTTCTGTGTGAGCCTCAATGGAAGCCCCACATAAAGAGCATTACAGTAGTCTATTATTGAGACTTATTATTGAGACTACTAGTGCATGGACCAGTGTGGTGAGCAACTGGATGTCCAGGTAAGGACGCAATTGCACAATTAGTCTAAGTAGGTGGATTAGACCACAGATGCTATCTGGTTCTCCACTGATAATGCTGGGTGGAGAAGAATGTCCAGGCAGAGAGAGTAGTCTTTCCAAAAGAGAGGAAACCACCCATACCACAGATACCAGGGGCACCCACCTGGAGGACCTCCATCTTGCCTGGATTCGGCCTCAGTCTAATACCCCTCATCTACTCCAGCACAGCATCCAGGCAGCGCTCAGGGGATGGGACGGCATCCACTGCAGAAGGGTGGAAGGAGAGACAGAGTTGTGTGTCATCTGCATAATGATGACACATCACTCCCGAATCTCCAGATGACCTCTCCCAGCAGTCTCATACAGATGTTAAAAAGCAATGGGGAGATGATTGACACCCCTGGGGCTCTCCACAATTAAGAACCAAAAGGGTGGAAACCACCACCTCCCCTTATTGCACTATCTGGAGGCGGCTCTAGGGCTTATTTTCAAGGAAGCATCGGGAGCCAAGACAGAGCCAGATCACCGATCCCTAACCCAAAGAGCTTCCTCAGGAGGATCCTGTGTCTGACAGTATCAAAGGCCACTGAGAGACTGAGGACTGGCAAGGGCACCTTGCTCTTGTTAGCCTCCCTCAAAAGGTCATCATGTAGGGCAACCAATGCTGTCTCGATTCCATGATGCAGCCTAAAGCCAGACTGGAATGGGTTGAGGACATTGGTTCCTTCCAGGAGTGCCTGCAGCCAGTGGCATACTGTGTGGGGTGGTGGGAGCTATGGGGCAGTTGCCTTGGGTGCAAAATTCTTAGGGATGTGTGGGCCGCCTTGGCTGGTGTGCTCCCACATCTGCTCCTTGCCCTCCTCTTCCCCCTCTTCACATCAGGACTTGGGGAACTAAACTAAGTGTAAATTATGTTCATGTACTAGTTGCTAAAGATTATTAATAATAAAAGTATCTCTGAGTCCAGGCAGAACATTTTCCTGTCACAATGGACTTATAATTCATAGCTTTTCACACATAAGTCTATCTACAGTCACCGTCTTTCAGAACAGAGGGCATCCAAGCATCATTTTAGTCCATTCTTTTTAGAAAAGAGACAAACCTTTCAGTTAATGTGACCCCTGTATTCACAAAAATCATTCAGGAGTCATTATTCTGCAGAGAACTTGGAAAGCTCATGATGTGGAAAGTGCATGTCAAGTACCAACTACTGCATGACCAGTTAAAATTACTAACAGGACAATCCAGTGCATGTTTACTTGAAAGCCAGTCCTACTAAAGTCAATGGGATTTACTCTCTTGTAAGTCAATTTAGAATTTTAAACACTCTAAACACTCACCAAGTTTTTATTTGTATTTCACCTACCACTTACTAATAAGTTACTACAGGTTCTTCAGTGCCCGTTGTGCACCTAGGTGTTTCACTTATTTCTTCTGGTCTTATTTTTCAAGAAACTGCATTTCTGGGGAAGTACATGAGACGTGGCCAGCTGCTAGTGCCCTGTTTCCAAAATAATGGCATTTTAGCATATTCCTTCTGTTTCTTGCCTATAGAGATTGCGTTGATGAGAAATCCAGCCAGAAATACTTCAGCCTCTCCATCCTGTGAACCTCGCTCATCAGAAAATAATCAGAGAGCATTTTAGGATTGTCACAAGAAAAGAGAATTTAGGATGCAGCCTAATAATATTGGTATCTACATTTCCATTTAGTGCCTACTTTCCTTTCTGAGTGCTCACTGGAAGGACAGATCCTGAAGCTGAGGCTTCAATACTTTGGCCATCTCATGAGAAGAGAAGACTCCTTGGAAAAGACCTTGATGTTAGGAAAGTGTGACGGCAAGAGGAGAAGGGGACGACAGAGGATGAGATGGCTGGACAGTGTCTGCGAAGCAACCAACATGAAATTGACACAACTCGGGGAAGCAGTGGAAGATAGGAGGGCCTGGCGTGCTCTGGTCCATGGGGTCATGAAGAGTCGGACACGACTAAACGACTAAACGACAACGACAACTTCCTTTCTATTGATCAAATTATTGTGTTGTCTTTTCATTTTTTTTTAATTTTTGGAGGGTAAGATGAGGGATGTTTCTGTGCATCCCAAAAAGAGAGAACAAGAGAGTCGGCCTCATGCACGTGAGATGGGGCAAGACTGAGGGATAGCGCAACATTTGGCATGTCAGAATAGAGGTCTTCAAAGCTTGATCTGTCTGAAGAGGTAGATGAGGTAGTTGAGTGATGAGCTAAGTTTTGATTTCAGGTAGGCATCTTTTCGGTTGCTTTTTTTCCAGTGTTTGTGTGTGAAATTGATATGTTATTAAAAAAACAAAAAAAGGCTGAAATCCAATTGCTAGTTTAAAAAGGAGTAAGCTGTCTGAGACAGTTGTTGAATGATGAGTTAGTACAGTAGGACCACCCTTATCTGCGGGATCAGGATCTGCTGATTCATGTATCTGAAGACTGAAAATACTAAATAATCCCCCTCCCCAAAATACCTACTGTGTTTCCCCAAAATTAAGACAGGGTCTTAAATTAATTTTTGCTCCAAAAACACACTAGGGCTTATTTTCAGGGGATGTTTTTTTTTTCCATGTACGACCATCTACATTTATTCAAATATAGTCATGTCATCTTCTTCTGGTTGATGCACAAGGGTAGAGGGTGGGGTTTCACTTAACTAGGGCTTATTTTTGGGGTAGGGCTTATATTAGAAGCATCATGAAAAACCATACTAGGGCTTATTTTCAGGTTAGGAGAAACGGTAGAGTATTTACGTATATATATTTTCAGGGTGTATTTACCAGAGCTGGCCACAAGGGAGCGCCAGAGGCTATGCAATATATAGCCTTTGGTGTTTTTCTCAGCATCTGTAGGGGAGCTTGGAACTGCTTCCCCCTGAACAGTGCGCTCCTACTGTATTTACTTAACCCCCCTCTATAGATTCACAAGAATCTTGTGGCACATTAAAGAAGATCAAATTCATTTAACCTAAACTTTAGCTGCAGGCTTCTTCAACAGATTCAGAAAGGCAACATCATCTTCTCATTTTTAATTTAATTTTTTTTTACTGTCATCACATGCGAAAATCCACTGCTCTTAAAGGAGTAGCTCAGCAGGAGGAGCAAAGATGCTAACTGAGTCTGCAAAATCTGTGGCAGGGCTTGATTTAATGACTTTCAGCGATTTCTTTTTTCTTTCTTTTTTTTTAAGTAGAGGAGCATTTATAGATTGACTGCCCACATTTATGGGAAAGTCTGAAGTGGTTTACCACCTCCTGGCTTTGCTGCCTGCTCATTATGCTGCATGCATCGGCCAGACCTGAGGCACCATGTGAAGCTGAAGAACTTAAATCCTACGTTTCTCTCTCTCTTCCCATTTGCCCCTGAAGCTTTGAGCACTTCATGCACTAACGGAAGTGGTTCCAGCAGAAGATTTCAGCTTATCTATTATGTATCTTTTGTTAAAAAAAATTAGTGAAAGATTAATGCTAGAAAAGATGTCGAGTTCCTTCCAGCCCAGGGTGCCCAGAATGTATTTTCTTGGTCCTGAGAACGAGAAGCCATCTTGGAACATCCCGGGCTGCACCATAGGCACTCTTGAAGACACGAGTTCCAGATTTTTGAAAAACACAAACCTCGAAGGTTCAGCCGTGGGGTTTCCAATGATCCTGCCTGTCCCTTCTCCTTATTTAGCTCAACTGATCCCCCCCCCTTACTCCACAAGCTTTGGTCTTTGGCATAAACTTTCCTCTGTGTGCATGTATAGGTGAACATTGTGGCCCCCAAACAACCCAGGGCTCTCTGGCATCCAGACTCCATGTTGTTGCAAAAGAAGATCCCAAGTCTTTGCTTTTCAGGCCTTTTGTTCTCCTTACTCAGACTGTCTTTTCTGTCAATTTCTGTCATTAGTAAACAAATACTAAAAAAACCCAAACTTAACAAGCACAGATGTTGCTGAAAACAGCAAATGCCATCACAGTTCATTAGATCAGAAGCAAAGTGTGCTGTGTGACTCTCTAATTGGCTTGTCCCTAGATAAAGGGATACTGTTGTAGCTTATTTCTGATGATAAGTCTTCTGATCTTCTTCATTAGCAAGCAATTTACTATCCCCATAAGGGCTGGAGTGGATGCCGTCAGCATCTGTTCTGACAAATATGGGAATTCAGGGCTTTGATCAAGGCTCTGTGTGTGTGTGTGTGTGTTCCTTGACTGTACATATGTGTGGCAAGAGGAGAGTCCAAAATGGATGTTGGTTCACTTCCTCTGAACCAACTCTGGTGAACACCACCACCATATCCCTCAGCCATGCTGAGTTTTCGGCAGCAATTTACTAACCCTCACATTTGGAGAAGGCAACAGCTTCACAAGAAAGAGCTTGATTAGTAGTCCTGCATCAGGGCCAGCTGGTGACCAAAGGATAAGGATGCTGCTCAGGCTTCAGTATGGAAAACTGCACTGGAGTTTTTACAGCCTTGCATGCTGCTTCTAGCAGTTGTTGCTGGAAGGGACCTTCCTGGGTTGGGGTGATTGTCAATCACTAATAGCACTAACCCACAGTTCCCTCCCTGCCTCTGGTTCAAGGAGAGCCCACCTCTCTCCTCTGCCTTCTTTTCTCTGTTGTCTGTTGAAAGCAGTCAGTCAGTCAGTCTGCTGTAGCTTGTTGCTGAAGTCAGTTAGACATGTTTTTTTTTCAATTTGCTGCAGATCTGTTCAATTGTAAGTAAATTAAAGCTTTTTATTCTTTCTATTACTAATGTCTCAATAGTGAGTTATTGAGACTGTAAGTGCCAGTTAACTAGAAAAAAAAGAGATGGACTAATCTGGGAAACTGAAGCTAATTCTGTTATTGGAATCCCTGCCTTTCTGCTGCATACAGTAGCTAGAGGAAATTTAATAAATAAAATCCAAACTGCAGGGGTGACAGTAGTGATTGCAATTAACCATAGCACTGAGATGTGGAATGTGACAGATAAGTACCACATTGTAGTATATTCATCAAGGCCAGACAGAAACATAAAAAGGCCTTTAGTCACTGCCAGGTTTTAGGTGGCTAGGGGGTGCTAGGAATCTCTGGTTTAGAATTTCTGGGTTGGCATGTATGAAATATGTATGTGGTAAGATCTACACTGCAGTAAAAAGAAGTGAAAAGGATGAACATACTGATCTTTATGATAAGTG